AAGTACCAAGTACTTTTCTTAAAGTATAAGTACAAGTATCAAGTACATTTTTGCAAGTACAAGTATAATACTTTTACTTGAAAAAGTACTAAAAGTACAAGTACAAATACTTTCGTCCTAGCTCTGGTAACAAAGCGGAAAAACATTTAGTTTCCACTGGAAGGAAAGATAAGTTTTTGTTTCTGGGGAGGAGGGGCCACAAAATTTACGGTTCTACCTAAAGCCTCCTCTCTTAAATACACATCAAGCAAGAGCTTTATCTTTTGTAGTTTAGGAGCGATCGCGAACATCCTAGGGACGGTTACCTGATCCTTTATCTACCTTTAAAACCTTTTATACCTTAACTTTTTGAACGCGTGCAGTACGACCGGTGAGTATTTGAACTGTTTATACGTCTGAATTTTTCCACTAAAATCCTGTGAGATTTTGATTATAGCGCGCTTCAACGTTTATCAGCATGCAAAGCGGCTAAAGTACAGGGAATGGTGAAATTTTCGAATGTCTAAGTGATAAGTTTATTAACCGGTACGAATTTTCGAATAATGAGTATCTCATTATTCCATGGAAATAGTCTAAAATGCATTATTTCACCAAAAGTAGCCTTTATCACGTTCCATAACACTTTGCGTGTTCGATAATTTATGTTCACCTGTCCTTGAGAGCTCCATCGGTCCATGTCATATTAGTTTTATGACTTATTTATTTAGTTTTATGACTTATGACTCAGTCATCAGATGTTTTTAATCTCAATGAGAACCACTTTATAAAGGCGTCTTAAACAACGTTTAAGTCGATCGTTAGAAGCATTCTTAGCAAAACGTTTAAAACTAGGTAGCTCACGCGCTAAAGAACATCAGCAGCATATAAGAGTATCATTAAATGAATATAATCCTTTGAAATCAATTAAAATAAGATCACAATATACATCGCCAATGACTTTTTTACAAACTTAAATATTGTTGAAAATTTAGTTTGAGGAAAATATAAAGACAAAGTGTGTTATGTTTCTGGTTTTGAATGTATACACCTATTTAAGATGGCAATAAAAAGTACATATTTTCGTTATGGTTAGCTGTAATAACCACAACCCTTTATCTATCTCAGAAAGTAAAATGTATCTTTTTCTAAAATATAGCGAGACACAGAGTACAGCTTGGGTACTTCAAACCGGCATAGAGATCGGAGAGGGATGCTTTCCAGTTAATTTTATTCTGGTCTGTAAAGTTGACAGAACTTAGACTTGACACTTAGCAAGTGAAGGTTCATAATGAATTATTTCGATCGTTCATGAACAAACGTAAGAGAATAATCATTATTTACGATTAATAGCGAATAGAGACAGTATTAGTCGGTTCTATATGTTGTTGTTGAACTAACTGAATGTGAAACAGTCGGTGTGCAGTGTTACTCATAAATTTTAATAATTCTTTTCGATACATTCGCGCACCGAGAGTATTCATGTAAAAATTCAGTGCAATATTTAGTTTCAAGAACAGATAGAGTACATTGAAAATGAAATAAATAAGATCTGTCGATTGCGGTTCAATACTGATTATTGCATATAAAATGTTCCATGGAAAGACGAGTAGGAAATAAGTCACCACTTGAAACAGCATCATTCGAAACAGTTGACCATCGGTTTGTCTTCTTTTCCTATGAATGTTGGGCCCGACTCGTTTACGCTGTTTTCTGATATTCATGATTGCCAGACTACCAAAAACGAGTAGAAGTATTGTTGGACATAAAGAATAGACTGTAAGTAAGAAAAATGATGCAAACTGACTGTAAATACCCGCTTGATACTGACAATATTGATTGTCATATTCAGTTAGGTAATAGGTATCGGAATATATTAGCACGTGAAAGCAGATAACGAGAAAAAATAGTATTGTACCGAGTATAAAACGTTTTGTCATTTTAGTCGTAGAAAATGAACGCAGACGAAAACTTGCTGAACTCGAACAGAACCGATCAAATGATGCCAGAACGGTAAAATAGACTGATAACCAATAGAAGACATAGGTGAAATAATTGTAAAGTTTGCACAAAACTCTATAACGATCTGATAATGGTGACGACGTGACATATTGAGGCAGAATAAGGCAGTAGATGACGAACAGATTAACAACTGATGTACAGATGAAGTACATTGAACAGGATGACGAGCGAAAAGGACGCCGAGAGAATACAATTACATTGAATATATTTCCAATGGTACCAAGTCCGATGATCAACGGAATGACAATCGATTCTAATTTGACTTGAATCTGATAGAGGGAATCCATTCAGTTCAATGTCGGTCATTTATGTTTATCACTAATAAAAAGCTTTTTCAGTAACGTGTTGCCGTTTGCTTTTGAGATTCTTCGACGAGTATAACATTTGTAGCTGCAGAATTTGATGTTTCATGTTCTATTGGCTGGTGAGTGAGCGTTTGATAATAGCAATGATCAATGACCTCTTTGCCTTTTTCAATTAAAATCAAAAGAATCCAATAATAAATTTACACTATTTAAATCTGAATCGCATAATCGTGTTCAACGTAACGATACAACTCGTCTCAAATCGCCTATTCGTGATACTGTTCGCCAAATGTCGGATAAAGATATGACACAAACACAAATCAGGAAAGCTGTGTCAGTAATTCATCCAAGTTTAACCGTAGGCACAAAAATTAAAAATATTGTTCAGTATAGTCGTTTAAAAACTCGTAAAAGTATAATATCAATTGATAATTTGCAAATATGGTGTAACCAATATCTTAATTGTCCATCTCCAGATAAATTGCATGACGCATTTGTGCCATATTATGAAGCTATTGATATTAATCATATATGTATTTGTATTACTACACGTCAGTTATTATCTGCGTGTAAATATTCATCTACATTAGCTATTGATTGTACATATAAAATAACATACAACGAATTACCTTTACTCGTTTTTGGAACATCAGATTTAAATCGACATTTTCATCCATTAGGATTATGTTTAATATCAACAGATGAATCAGCAGATACATTTAAAACTTTATTTCGTGTATTAAAATCAT